ACAGGCAGGAGAACATGCTGGCCTTGCTGGCCTTTTATTTGATGTGATGTTTGAGTCTTCTTTCCACCCGTGTTCTCCCTGAGCTCAAGACTGATTTTATCTTTTCCTCCAGTGACAGCTCATTGCACACCAGCTGGCCAGTTTTCCATTGCTGTCTCTTGGGATGTGACCCTTACCACCTCTTAAACTGCACTCTATGCCACTGGCCAGTGGACGCAGTACTGGCTCTGTCCCTGTTGTGAAAAGTGATGATTTTGTTGTATACCACTTCCCACTCTCTGCCTGTGGCACCACTTTTCAGGTAAGAGCTGCAGCTGTCACTAGGCTGGAAGCAGGAGCTTGCAGATCTGGAACAAGCTGTTGTGGCTTTGGCTGCTTAACAGGCATGCTACAGCCATCCAGAGGTCAAGTGGTATTCTCCAGCCTAGCATTAATCCATCTTGACTTTACTGCAGCCACAGTGCCTGGTCTGTCATTGCAGGTGACTGGAGGCCAGGCCATATATGAGAATGAGTTGCTGGCATCCAGGGATGTGCAGACTGGGAGACTTGGCTCTGTCACTAGGGCTAGCATGTTCAGGTAGTACCCTGGGGCTGGTATTGCTGGGTGCCACTCTGTTCAGTGTCCCTGAGCCATTCTGGCTTGTCACAAGCTCTGAATTCACGGCAGGGCAGTGGAGTAGGCTAAGGACTGGTATGTCTCTAGTTAGTGGGAATAAACCTGGTGTTGATCAGTGACACTCTGCAGATTCAAATCTAGACTCTGAAGAGACTTTCAAGTAGTTCTTAAAAGGAAGTATGGGAGAAAAGATTGGGGATATAACTAATTAAAGCAGATATTATGTTGCCATCTTGGAGAAAGGAGATACGAGAGTGACTTTTCTGCCTGACTTGGAGTTGTCCTGTCCCACCAGGTTACATGTCCACTGTAGTTACTCCATCACTGGGAGCTTCATTCCGTTGAGTGTTCAGGTCTTCACACAGCCACCGCTCCCTGCTGTGTCCTAGCCAGGTCCTCTGTCCTTGGAGCTGCGTGTTGCCTCGGGAATGAGAGGTGTGCAGGACTTGCTCAAGGCTCTTGGTGTAGGGCTCTGGTCTCTGCTGTGTAATAAGGGAGTCTTGATGGGTGAACCCTGCCATGGTGGGAACTTACTGACCTGGTTCTAAATTATGGTCTCAGGTGGCCTGTTTCTGATTGTTCCTGATCTAAAATGGCTCTTGGGTTTCTTCTGTTTCAGATGGAAGCTATACTTCCTACTATACTGACAGTAACTATCCTGTTGTGAAGACTCTGAGAGACTCTGTTTATGCAGAAGTCAAGATCCTTCAGAGAACAGACCCAGACCTGTTTTTGGTCCTGCACCACTGCTGGGCCACACCAAATGTCAGTCCCCAGCAACAGCTGCAGTGGCCTGTTTTGGTGGATGGGTAAGTGACTTGTAAATGGCTTGGGTCAGGGGAATGACTTGCACTTTTTTCACTGCTGGCCAATCCTTCTCAGGTGCCCTTGCGCAGAGGACAACTATCAGACCCAGCTAGTGCCTCTGAGTCTTGCTTCAGGACTGTTGTTCCCCTCTCCTTACCAGAGTTTCACCCTCTACACATTCACCTTTGTGGGTTCCACTTCCCAAGAGATGTTCTCTGGGCTGGTAAGATCCTGTCCTGCTTGCCTGGCTTCCTATTGAGGACAAGTAACACAGGTGAGCAGTAAGAACCACTTCCACTTGGCGTAAGTGAGGGTTGTGTCAAGA